TTAATTTGTCATTTCACCAACAGCAAAATGTTTTCATTCTAGGGTTAAGATGATTGCCCCACTGACATGTCAAATAAATAGTATTTTTTGTTTGTTACTATCATTAGGCTTGACAAAGCCCTGGCTGGGATGATTTAGTTGGGGATTGGTCCTGCTTTGAGCAGGGGGTTGGACTAGATGATCTCCTGAGGTCCCTTCCAACCCTGATATTCTATGATTCTATGATTAGTACCAAAAATCAACTAAAATGACTTAACAGCTGACACCTAAACTCTAACTCACAAATAAGAAAGTTACCAAAAAATTAACTCACTGAACATTAAAATACAGGGAATAAGAAATCTCTTCCTGGGGGATTCTTGTACAATAAAGTAAAAATACTAGGTTTTTCTCCTAAATTAAGTTACCTATTTTATTACATCAGTTATTTTATACTTTTCATTCTGGTTCTTTTATTCCAATGCTTTTACCATTTATGAGACATTTTTTAGCCTATCTCAGCCAAATAAAACAACAAAAACAATCAGAACTTGCAGCATTTACTTAAAGTGATTGCTCACTACCCTGTAAAACTTGTACCAGAGACAAGCAGCCTTGAAAGTCAAAATGGAACATCTAGTTTACTGTATTAATTATAACGGTCCTCCTATTTGAGAGCATAGCAGTCCACATGTAGGTGTAGCTTGAAAACTTTTTAGATATAAAAAATACATCTCATAGTCATAGTGCTAATTAACTGGCATGATTTCTTGTGTCATTGAGAGCAGTATTGATCACCAAACACTTGGGCTTACAAACTCAGTTCCTGCTTTTGTTCCTGCTGAAGTCATTTGAAAACTCCCACTGACATACTTCAGTGGTTGCTGAGTTGATGGGGCCAATAGGGTCGAATCCTGCAAGGTGTTGAGCACTGCTGGATTAAGGCAATGCAAGGCTTGAGGCATATCAAAACTGACTGAAAAATGTTGTTAGAAAATGGTGAAAAATCTCAACATTTTGAAGCTGTTTCCGTTTCATAGGGCTCAACATGGATGCCTTTTAAACAATATTTTAAATCTAAACCATTACTGAAACACTTTTCTGATGATGAATAGACATCCATACTATGACTTCTGACTAGAGTTCATTGAAAAAAATAATAAGTAGGGCTCTACCAAATTCACGGCCATGAAAAACACGTCACGCACCGTGAAATCTGGTCTCCCACCATGAAATCTCATCTTCTGTGTCTATACTATACAGATTTCACAGGGAAGACCAGTGTTTCTCAAATTGGGAGTCCTGACCCAAAAGGAAGTTGGAGAGGGGGGTCACAAGGTTATTTTAGGGGTGGTGTCACGGTTTTGCCACCCTTACTTCTGTGCTGACTTCAGAGCTGGGCGGCCGGAGAGTGGCGGGTGTTGGCTGGGTGCCCAGCTCTGAAGGCAGTGCCCTGCCAGCAGCAGTGCAGAAGTAAGGGTGGCAATGCCACACCATGCCGCCTTTACTTCTGCGCTGCTGGTGGTGGCAGCTCTGCTTTCAGAGCGGGGTTCCCGGCCAGCAGCTGCCGCTCTCCAGGTGCCCAGCTCTGAAGGCAGTGCCGCCACCAGCAGCAGTGCAGAAGTAAGGGTAGCAGTACTGCAACCTCCCTTACAATAACCTTGCGACCCCCTCAATTCCTTTTTGGGTCAGGACCCCTACAATTACAACACCATGACATTTCAGATTTAAATAGGTGAAATCATGAAATTTACGATTTTTAAAATCCCATGACTGTGAAATTGACCAAAATGGACCGAGAATTTGGTAGGGCTCTAATTACATAACGTTATTTCAACACTTTAAAAAATGTTTTTAATTGAAAAGGTCATTGTTGCTAAGGAAAGATTGTGGCAATATACTTTTTTTCTTATTAGCTGAGAACACTTTTGATTCTCTCTCTCTCTCTCTCACACACACACACACACACACACAGGCCCACACGCCTGTTTTCTTGAACATTAGAAGTTACTATATCGTGAAGTTATCCCATTGATAGAGCTAAATACAATATGTTGGGCTGCTATGCCTTAGAGTCAAAAATTGTGAGATCTCTGTATGCTACCAATAGCTGTGACCATTAACAACATAACATGCTCAGTCCTCATAAAACAGGCAACTGGCTGTATTGTGACTCGATTATGTTGTAGGCCCTCATCCTGCAATGGAACCTGCTAGCACAGGACTTTATGCCCGTGGGGGATCCCTATTTACTCCACTGGGACTCTGCATAGGATTACCAGTCCATGCCAGTGGCTCCAACCTTTAAACGGCATGAAAACAGCAGAAAACAGAAAATCAGAGTATCTCAGGAGAGGCTACATCATTTTCTGTCTAGATGGGGAAAGAAATTATCCTTAGCAGACAGCCTCTCTCTCTTTGCCAAATTACTCACAGTACAACAGTGAAAGCTTTCCTTTTACTGCAGTATAGTACTCCTGGTTTGAGATGTCCCACAGAATTCCATTCCATCTGTCAGGATGTATAAAATAAATGGGACTGATTCTCCTCTGCATCACACTAGTTTTATACTCATGCAGCTCCACTGGCATCAATGGAATTACTCCTGAATTAAACTGGCATAAGAGAAGTAGGTCCATATTCTTTTTTCCCTTCTGCTTGAAGATTTAAGTATAATTGTAGAGATGCACAATAAAATTAGATCAATGTCCACTGTTGTTTCATTGAGAAACATTTTGTATATAATTTATCGTTATCCAAGTTTAGTAGTTAAACAATGATGCTAATGAGTATTTATTTATTTATTTATTTATGGCAATGCCCACCGCATACTGGGCACTTTCCAAACAGAGAAAGAGGCATAGTTCCTGCCCCAAGAAGCTCATAACCTAAAAAGTAAGATGTAACATTATATATAAACAATGAATCATGCTATTTTGTGCTAACGTGTCTTGTTTACCCCTTACTAATTTTTAACCTCACTGTTAATATGACCATTTCTTTGTTGTAAGATGTTACCAGAAAGCAAAAAGAGAAGGCTTAAGAATCCTATCATACAACACAATCAGTGACTAGATTCACTGAGAATAGCTATAAAGCCTTAAACAAGCCCTTTATTTTGTGTTTTAAAAGTGTCATAAGGAGTTAATAGGACACAGCTGTACAGGCTCTTTCTAACAAGCAGCTTCTGTCGCTTTGGTCACCACAGGTGTCTCTGTAACCTGCAAACTCTTATTACTAGTGTATCAAAGTTGTGCTACTTAATAGACTTCTTTAGTAAAACACAACAAAGCAATTACATGGCTGTTGATTGTCAGTCATAAAAAACTCCCTCAAACACAGTTTTTCAAAAGAAACTACACTGCAATTTTTTGTCATTGTAAAATAAAAGAAACTAGTGAATTAAATGGAGAACAGAACAATATAACAGCAGGTAGTCAACCGAACTTCGCCACTACAGATGGTTTAGAAATAGTGTTTCCTTTTACATCTAGTTGGGGGATAAAAGAAAAGGAGGAGGCTTCTTACTGCCAATGAATGGCAATACCAAAAGATTTAGCCAAGTCTCCAGTCTCTGTATTTGGCCTCATGAAAGACCCTAGATGCTTCATTTTTATCTGTGTTTGGCATTGCTTTTTTCAGCACCTTTAACTAAGTGTGATTAATACAATGATGTCATTAAAACAAATAAAAGGAATTAAAAGGATGGGAGGCTTTTGCAACACTGAAGATATTCAAGGTTAAGTTAAGATACCCTGTGAAACAGATCACAATGGTTTGTTTTTTAAAAGAGTAAATTACTGCACAAGAATATTGCTCTGTTTTACTCTGACACCCTTTATCTAAAGAAAAACTAACACAGTTTACAAGTTTGAGGAATAAGAATGGATAAAGTCTATATTCAGAAATCCAATTACTACTGAGCCACAGGGCAACAGGAACACAAATCTGGATGATTTGTAATTGTTCAATAATAATTTGAATTAGGTAACAACAATGAAGTTGCCCTTAAGTGAATTAATTTAACCTCTTTTGTTCACAAAACAGCACATTATTTTTGCATTAACACACCCAAAATAGCATCATGGCAAGTGACAGTCATATGTGCACTTCAAACATGATGAAATGAAGTCCACATTAGAAACTCAAACAGGCCTGACTTTAAAACCTTCATCATTTTTACAGACATCATGATCAACAGACCAAATAAACATATCCCAACATCTACAGGACGGAATTGTTTTTATATTAAGATATGAATGGATTGCTGACTATGTGCAAGTGAATCTGTGGTATAAGTCAAATACATCAATCAGTTTGTGGTAGAATTAAAGCTATTATCTACCTAGCTGACGTGGCCTACAAAGCACTTCCTTAAAATTATTATTTTTGTTAGACACCGTTTAACAAATTAATAAATGTTAAATTTGCATTGTGATTTTTGATCACTACCAAAAAATATTTTTGACAGGAGAATTGTTTTGTTCATATCAGTCATATGAATTGTTCCCTTTATAATTTGTTTTATAATTATTTTTTTAAAATAGCTTCTATTTAAGATGATAATTTTTCCAATTGCAATAACAAAAATAATTCTGACAGGGCCCCCAGGTAGTTAATTAATATAATCACCTCTCACTGTCAATCAATTGGTGTTGCTCATTCATTGCGGCAGTTCAAAACAAAAATCTTAAAAATATGTTTATAGTGCTCTAGTGCTTGCAAAGGAAGATGCAAGAAAATAAATTAAATCTGCAATGAAAGAAACAGTAAATAATTTCCCAAACTCTATAACAACAGTGAGTGATCTTATAATGAGAACAAAGAGAGACTCAGATTCTCAGCTGGTGTAAACTGGCACAGCTCCATTGACTTCACTGGAGCTAGGCTGACTTAGACTAGAGAACACAGAATGGATTTTTTTATTTAAATAGACACCAAGAAACAAAACATTTGTTACACAGACATGGCAAGCTTCCTTGAAACAAAAGCAGCTCAGTTCACAACTCAAACTGTATTACCTTGCTCGGTTTGCTTCTTTTGTCATATCCCATGCCCAGGTTATGAAGTTCTGACTCAGATATGAAACAATAGATTCAGCACAAAGCATTTGTGAGCAGAACACATTGGTTAGTACGCTTTCATCATGGTGGAGGTAGATAGCAAGAAGCTTTCTCTGCAAAGACAGGAGAAAATACTGATCAGTGAAAACACCTGTCTAAGAAGTCTGTTTAGTAACTTAAAATTGCTACCGTAGGTTTGTGTGTTAGTGCGCACAAGACTGTCTACAGTGCGAGGCTGACTCTCAACATAAACAAATGTTCTGATTCAGCTGTTTCATACAGTAACATGGAAAGAAAAATGGAATTCTAGCAATTAAAGTCAAACTACCCTCTATCCCCCCAAATCCACTCAAATATTTTTAATCCAAATAGTCAACATTCTCTTTCAAAATCCAAGTAAAGGCCAAAAAGTGATTTTTTCTTCTTATTTCCAAAAAGTGATTTGGGATATCCTTAAAGTAGATTAATATTAAAGATATACATTTTAACACAAGAAATAAAAAGCTTATTTAAACAAAAGTACCTGCAGTAAACATTTGACAGCCTCCTGAAAAATGCATACCAAGGAACATCCATTTCACATTTAGTTCTGAGAATGAGCTAACTATTTTTGGCTTGCTGCACAGTAAAGACAATATTGAATACAGTTCTCATTTACCAAAACCATGCCTTTTGTCACAACAAAGTAAATTGTAAACGTTCAGCTTAACAAAATGATAGTGAGTTGTTGTTAGCCTGGCTGTTGCCATAAGAGAGCCAAGTTTGGAAACAATTATGTTTTCCCATTTTGCTGAAGACTAGACTACTTTAGAGATTATGTGCTTGCAAGGGAGAGGATCACCTCTGCATAGTTCTTCGGAAACCAATATCTAAATCTGCAATGAAAGTAGCCAACAATGCAACTGTGCATCCTCCCCATAATATGGAGATGTAATGGCAGACACATGTCAGGAAGGGAAGTGACTGGTATATATGCGTGTACATAGGGGAAGAAGGTGGGGTGGGAATAATATAGGGAAAAAGATGATTAGGGGAAAGGACCATGTTCTGATATCTGGTATCTGAATAAATCAAAAACACAGTTTTCGAAAAGCAACAGAAAATAACCACAAAAATTATTGTTAGGGACATTATTTAAAAATACTGCTTAAACATCCATGCTGAGAAGGCAAGTGACAAGTATGGCAAATGGGTGAGTGTTTTTGCATATAATTTTTATAAAGGTAATTGAAAATCTATCCATACGAAGTAACATCTACGTAGGATATTGATCTGGTACCTTGCATTAATATATCAAGATATGTGGGTACAATTTTGGGGCAATTCATTTTTAGAAAAATCAGTATATTTATAACCTAGAACACTGGCTATGGGTAAAGTTTAGCAATGTCTGTTTAAACAAAAAGAAGAGTACATTTGAACATTAGACTTTGAGAAAGGGATTAGTAATATACATTAATGTTTGTCTGATTTAATTTAAATGTTCTTCAGAACCAAATACACATGTGCCAGGAAAGGCCATTAATAAGCCTAACATGCAGAGTTCCATATAAGTGCAGCCAACGGTGTTGACTGAAACTAAACTTGAAAATCCAGGGCACTAATGCACAATATCAAGCAATAAAACAGCATCTCTGTGGTGATATTTAATTTAAAAAGAAGAAAGAGACAGGGGAAGATCAGGCACTGTCTGTTTTTGAGGATCAGCCGTTCTGCATTTCAAAGCATCGATCCCTGCAATATCCAGGTTACTGTGCTAGAATCTCGACTATTATATAGCAGTTGTAAGAGAGGGAGGGCAAAGATGTGTTTACTCAGTGATTAGGGCCTTAGAATAAGCCTCTAGCTCCTAGAGAGACAACTCACCACTTATTCATTTGGGCCAATTCACAAAGCCTAGAAAGATTAAACATCCATGCTGGGAAGACAAGCGAATGCAGACGGTGAAAAAGAAATAAAAATTCTTTAAAAACTCTTAGATGACTTCATTATTTTTTCCACAAGGAAACTTTAGGAAAGTGTTTAGTTAGAGAAAAACCCACATTGACCTCTCTCTAAACCCTTAATCTTTCCTTTGTGGTGGCACTGCTTTGTGGTAAGCGGATGGCTTTGCTCTCCTCTTTTCACTGGGAGCTGATAAAAAAAGGCTCTTGAGAAACACTTTTAGTTCCAAAGAAACAACCCCATGAAACTGTTAAATATGAGATTCCGTCCAACTGAATGTTCCAAAATATGTACAGTTTTAAGATTAAAAGATTACGGCCAAATTTTAGTAAACAAGACAGGCGCACAAACTTATGCACACAAACAACAGATGTCTACATTTGAACTACCTTATTTGTGGGTATAATTGTCATTTGCATCCAGATATCAGGTAGTTAGAGGGCTAAACTATCTTTTGTAACTTCAGTTGATTGCAGCTGTAAAATCATGGGCCCAAAAAACTTGCAGGCCACATTGAGGTTTACTGTTAGGATAACAGTAAAAAGAGGCAGTAGAAAGATAATTTAAATGATAGCAAATATACTTTAAAAAAAAAATCAAAACTAGTCATGTCCTGAGCATCCTTTGCTAGGAAAATGTATGTTGTTTTCATATTTTTTACAATGCACTTTTTAGTTCTTTTAATACACTAGGGCTGGGATTTCCAAAAATGCCAAAGGACCTGATTTTTAAAGGTTGATCTCAATGGGAGTTAGGTGCCTACGTGCTTTTGAAAATTACACTGTCTATCCGCATTTTTAGGTGCCTAAACGCCTTTAAAAATCTGGCCCTAACCCTTTGTCTGCACTAGCAAGTGAAAGACAAAACTTCTGTTGTTCAGAGGTGTTAAGAAAACAAAACAAAACAAAAACAAAAAAACCAACAACAACAACACACACACCCCACCCCCCGAAAGACAAAAGTTTTGTCAACAACAAGCGCCGGTGTGAACAGTGTTTTGTCCTGCCGACAATGCTAACACCGCTTGTTGGGGGTGGAAGTTTTTTCGTTGACAGGAGAGCTCTCTCCTGCCAACAAACAGCACCTACACTGCACACCTTTTAGTGGCACAGCTGTGTTGCTGAAAGCTGCGTAGTGTAGACATAGCCTAAGGTGACTTAGGAGCACAAGTCTCATTGAAAGTTAAGGGATCTAAGTGACTCAGGCACTTTTCAAAAATCACATGCCTCAATTATAAATAGTTCCACCTGGGACTTTAGCTGGATAATAAGTTTTCTGCTACTCCCATTCCTATACTAGGTATTGAGGAAGATGAGAAGGAACAAAGCTCTCATTATGTTAATATTCCAAGAAGGCCTCAGTGATGGACCCTTTATCAGTGACACACTAGGGCAGCACGTAAGATGATTTTCAGTGGCACTCATACTGCCCGGGTCCTGGCCACCGGTCTGGGGGGCTCTGCATTTTAATTTAATTTTAAATGAAACTTCTTAAACATTTTAAAAACCTTATTTACTTTACATACAACAATAGTTTAGTTATATATTATAGACTTATACAAAGAGACCTTCTAAAAATGTTAAAATTTATTACTGGCACGCGAAACCTTAAATTAGAGTGAATAAATGAAGATTCGGCATACCACTTATGAAAGGATGTCGACCCCTGCACTAGGGCTTCCATTAACAGACTTCTTGAGGTGTACTGGGCTTCTGCACACCAGTTTACTAGTCTTGACCATCAAAGTCTCAAGAACACTTACATTCCTGTGGCACTTGAGAAAAGTTCATTTCTTTTCCACTCTTATAGAAGGAATGAGGGAACCCCTGTCACTGGTGGTTTAGGTAGAAACAAACAAACAAACAAAAGAAATAGATCTTAAGGATGCTGAAATAGTGGACTATTCAGGGAATTGGCCTTTTACCTATATTTAAATCCAGCCTAGTCAGGTTTCTACTAGATACGTATCCACAGCTCAAAAACAAATATCACAATTAGCATTCTTCTTGACAGTCTCAGAGAGCCAAAAGACCAAATAGACATGTAGACTGAGCCACCAAATCACCTCAAGAGGTGATTCCCCTTATGGGTCTCAATTTAGACACCTTATCAGGGCAGAATAAAGTAGACTGAAATCCTATTTCACCCTCTCTTTTGCGGCCAAACAGATTATTTCAATCTCTAGACCAGCCAATCTAGAACTACTGTGGCCATAAAAAAGTCAGCATTTGCCATAAATTACAACACAGATGTATCTGAGATATCAGTTTTCCCTTATATTTAGAAAAAGGATTAAAAATTTGCCAGGTATCTAACCAGTCAGAGGATTAAACCTACTAGCCAGAAGTATATACACAAGACAAGTGTGTGAGTGTGTGTGTGTCCTACCAACAAGTGAGAACCATGTGCAGGATGCTGGTTAACAAGTGCAGCTAGCTCTGGAGCACGGAATTAATATAAATCTAGCCCAGTGTTCTATATGGCAGCTGTGAAACTAATCAGTTTTGTTCATTTCATTTTTCTGGTGCTGCTTGGGAAAGGTATGAGCATCAGGAGAAGCATCAGCTCTATCTGAAGGCTCAGAGCACTGCATCAGTTCACACTTAGAAAATTAAACTTTAGAACCATAAGGACAAGAAACTCAACAGTTTTTAAATCAAAACTTAAACTGCAGAAATCAGTACTTTAGGTTTCCACAGTCATCACAGAGAGCTTCCCACTAGTCATCAGTGAGTGGGCAAAAGGATTTTTTCAAATGTGGACACCAGAACTGGACATAATATTCCAGTAATCATCTCACTAATGCCATATATTGACTTGATATTCCCCTGCTTATGCCTCCAAGGACCATAGTCACCTCGTTAGCTACGGCATCATGCCGGGAGTTCATGTTCAGTTGGTTATCTACCATAACCCTTAAGTCCTTTTCAGTGTCATTGCATTACAGGGTACTCTCTCCCATCTTGTAAGTGTGACCTACATTTTTTGTTCCTAAATGTACGATCTTGCAATTGGCTCTATTAAAAACATTGTTCAAATTTGCCCACCTTACCAAGTGATCCAGATTGATCTGTATAACTGACGCATTCCCATTGTTATTTACAATTCCATCAATTTTTGTGTCATCTGCAAATTTTACCAGCAATTACTCTACAGTTTCTTCCAGATC